CAATAACAGTACATATACAACAAATAAATTCAAACCGGTTCCATTTGACTTGCATTCTCTCGTGACTTTCACCCAAGCCAGTCGCTTTATGCTGGAATCTGGTATTCCTGTAAAGGTTTGTAAGCATATTGTGAAAATCAAGTATACAAAACTGTGGATCTTTACCTTCAGGTAGGCACTCGGGTTTTGAATATCAAAACCTTGGAATATATGAATCACCAACTTGTACATCATTTCAGTAGAGAGGATTCCCATTCTGCATATCGGGTAACATACATGACATGAGCCTAAATAATGTTCAGAGTGGTCTTTTGGAACTTGGACACAATGCTTGAGGTGCCTTAGTTTTTCTTGCTTTTGTGGTTGGTTCAATTTTGTTATTAACCACATCAAACAGCTTTTGACTCAACACAGTCTTCAAAGATGGGTCTTTCCTAAGACGTTTTCCATCAATTTTTGTAAACAAAGCTGCACTTCTTTCTTCTTTAATTTCTGGGACTAGCATTGGGGGGGGACTGAATATCTCCTCCCACAAAGGCTTGTAGTTCTCATTCAAATACTTCCAAAGTGACAAAATATCAGATTGATCTACCCGGTACTCTTCTTCCTTCCTGTGTGCTGTCTTGGCTTCGGGAAGAATCAGAGACCACTGCCCTGAAAGATTCACTTTCCTGATCCTCTTTGGACAATCTGGCGTCACAAGGTCCTCAGGTCCATCGTCACCTGATGCCATAAAATAGGATTCAGTTTTTCTACGGTTACATAGTTCTGCTCCTGCTTCAAGTCCCTCAAAGTTTTGTCATCAAGCATACTCAAGACATTGTTTGAGAGAATGCCAATGATCATATTTACACCATCTCGTTCACTGAAATCATCATCCTCTTTATCATGTATGCTATTCCCAGTGTCAGGAACTTTCTTCAGCAATGAGACCTGTGAAGGTCCAGTTAGAATTGATCTTCAGTAACCCATGCTTGGGTCGTAAGAGGCGACTAAAAGGGATCAGGTGGTCAGGCCAGCTGACTGGGTTGACGCATGTCATCGTATCCCATGTGCGTAGATCGATGTTCATGCTGTTGATCCCTGGACTGTCTGGTCCAGACTCGATTATTTACAGACCGCCGCAACATAGCTGGAATATTGCTGAGTGCGGCGTAAAACTAAACTCATTCACTCACTCTTCTGCAATAAATCGAATGCATCCTTTGCCAGTACAAAAGGTTTCTTTGAACTCCATGTACAGTGATGCAGCGGTTTTGCACTTCTAGATTTACTTTCTGTTGAAGTTCTTGGTAATTTGATACCAGAAGGACATTTCGCATGTTTATTACTTTTAGAATTGTTGGTTTCTTTGTACTTTTGGATTCTTCATAAACATCCTTCTGGAATTGCAATAGGGTCAATGGCCTACCATCACAACTTCTAACCACGAGTCTGCTCCACTGGCCATCAAAACAGCAAAATGGTGTATGAATATTTTGCTTTTCCCACTCTTTTAAGACAAACCGTATCAACAAAATCAATGCTAGCAAACTGTATCAACGAAAATAATTTGCCACTAGCAAACGTGTCTCCAAGTGTAGCAAACTGTAGCATCTCAAATTAGAAATTCATCTGTAACTTCACTATTTAATTGAAATTATCCACATCCAATTACCCACACACATACATATCCCAATGCATATACCTCAATGTCAAGCTTCCACTGTAAATTGTACATCCCCATTATGTAATATCATATTCAACTGTATTTAGGGTAAAGGCGACCATAAGTGGCGCACTTGTGCCAAATCCCGTTGTCTTTTGGACAATAAAATATGTTTCAACTGAACTATATCCCAATACTTGTCACCTGGTATCACATTGGTTTGTGAAAGATATGTTGTTTTGACAATTAAAACCAGACATTATTTCCATTTGATGGAAAAACATACCAAATAACATCGATTTATCGCTGGTGCTTATTACAGGCGGAAGTGTTACCCATGTGTCCTGTATCATGTGAATCTATATGCAATGTAACCTTCACTCACAGGCAACATACGATGTGTTCAGTATAACAGAAGAGTTTTCACATAAAACAGAATTCAGTTGTACTCACGTGTCCATAGATACGCACGCGCAAAACTATTCGTCAGTCGAACGTTTTGTTCAGTGTTTCTGGTAACAACCCACATGTTTTGCGTGGCGTGTGCAGAATTACTAATGCACGTTGACTTCGTGCACTGCAGATACATACAGGTTTCTGGAAGTTAAGGGCCAAGTTTGCTGTTTGGTCGGCATGGGATCCATATGAACTCTACATTTTGGCCTAAGGCGTGCATGCTGCTTTTCAGTACATTTTTAAAATAATTTTTAGTTTTGTAGTGTTTTGTTTTTGATTGCTTGGAGCCCACTAAGTGAATCTGTTAGAATTAAAATTCCATTGTGTTGTTTGACAAGCGGTTCTTGCAGTGCTGTTTCAATGCCAATTAGTTTTTGTGATGAATATTGATTGGAGCCTATGTAACTTAGTTTGCCCCGTGGCTTGTGATGTGTGGGTGCGTTTTGCACCCGTGTAAAAGGACCTAGCTGTTATAGTCCGTTTGGCTCAAAAGCGGACCGATGAATTGCAATCTAACTCTAAAACTACTAAACATATACTGCTCATTGAAACACTGATCATAATCAAAACATCAGACCAGGTCTGCGATTCTTTTCGCAGAATTTATGTACTAAAAATAAAAAGGTTGTTTAACAAACTATCATTAACATTTTGACAAAGTTCACTATTTGTTACGAGGGAGGACTGCAAAGAGAGGAACAGCCAGGTGTACGCGGAGCACGTGTACAAGTGCCGGCCAAGTTGAATCATTTACAATACCTGTGCTGTGCTGTATCATCCTTTCTCGCACACTTGGCTGTTCCTCTCTTTGCATGTCAGAACAATTTACAAATAATATCCAGTCCTGGTTGGGGAAGAAATAGTCTGGCTAGGCCAGAATCTAGCCCTTTTGATATAAGAACAAGGGTGGGAAAGATTAAGCTTAGGGGAAGAAATTTGTCCTAGGCCAAAGTTTCCCCAGGGAAGGTTTGGTCAGGGGGAAAGTTTGGCCTGTTACACCGGGTTAACCTTACACAGAGTGTGATACATTTCCTCTTGGCATTAATCTTACTTTTTAAGATGCAACATTACTGCCACACTGCAAGTTTATCCTGACATAAAATGTGCTACATGACTGCTGAGCACAGGGGTTAACTTTACACTGAGTGTGATACATTTCCTCTTGGAACACTGTAAGTTCTATTTTTTATCAATACACTGTATTATAATACTTATATCAAAGGGTTCTACATTGCCTTCAGGCTCAAAGGTTAACCTTATACTGGAGGTGCTATGTTAGTGCACCAAGGTTTCTTTGACATTGAATGTGCTGTATTACTGCCATGCACGAAATTTAATCTTACATTAAATTTGCAACATTACTGCTAGACGCTGGGTTAAACTTACATTAGGTGCTACACATAAGGCGCATCCTTACTGATAGCCAGCGATGTAAACCTAACACAAGGTGCTACATTACTGCCAGGTACAAAAGGTTAACGTTGTTCTGAATGTTCTACATTAGTTGACCAAAGTTACCGTCACATTAAAGATGATATATATCTGCCAGGCACTACAGTAATCCCTTACATTGAAGCGCCTGTTGGTGGAAATGTTATCTATAGGGCATATTTGCTGCCATCAAACTCCGTTGGGTTACCGTACAGTACAGATGCTACCTTCCACCCCGGTACCGACGGGCACTGTACATTGTAGGTGCGACACCTACTTCCAGTATCGATGAAAACAGTTAAGTAAAGGAAGTAACCGAAAGAAACAATTTCTTTAAGTCAAACTGACAGGCATTATTAATCATCTGAACACTTTATCATCTGCAAGGAATTAAATTACATGTTTGATCTTAAAACCCATTCCATGAAGTAACGAGCAAGTTTCATCCCACAAGGAACCCGTTCCTCAATGCCAGCTGAAGTTTGTACGGTTTACTGATATATTTCAAACAGCTCGCTTTGTATTGACCATACACGCTATATGCGAATAAAATCACGAATAGTGGCAATTGTGTTCAGCGAATAAAATCACGAATAGTGGCAATTGTGTTCAGCGAATAAAATCACGAATAGTGGCAATTGTGTTCAGGTCCGTAGGTTACATTTTTGATAATCAAACCAGAAAGTTCAAAGACGAGTATAAATACGGTAGACGCATGTCTATTTCTATATCTTTTGGGCGTATAAGTACTGGTACGTACGTGTGTGTGTGTGTGTGTGTGTGTGTGTGTGTGTGTACACATACATACGTACCAGTACTTTACACCCAAAAGATATAGAAATAGAACATGCGGTTATATATATATATATATATATATATATCTGTATAATACCCATATGTGGGTGCATGTCAATATGTTTCGAAATCTCGGTTCATGTATGTTTGTTTAACACCGGCGCTGGTGCATATATTCGTATAAATCGGCCAGATTCGTCGCATTTGAATTTGCTCCAGGCCTGTTTTATTATGCGTGCGTGCATATGCTGTATTGCTGGATATGTTGATATACCTAGATCTAGTACGTAGGTGCATGCTGTATGTATATACCTCTGTTGGTGCATATTTATATCAATACTTATGCGTAACATGTATGTCAAGGCACATGATTAAATTTACATGGAAAAATGGTATATGTTGCCACAGACAAAAGTTCTCTTTGGAATGTTTATGAGATAACTGGTTCTTTAAAACACATTTAAAACAACATTATATACACCACAGTCATATCTTTCTGAGAGCTAAACTTAAGTCTCTTTTACTGTCCGTAACAATATAGGTCAAGTCACATATACGTGTTTCAAGTAGCATGCATCCTCTGTTTGGGCACATTTTTAGCAACGACGTGTGCTTATTCTGGTCCTTGTTAAATGTGCCACGCAATGACCTTATGGACATAGAGACCTACCTGCTTTTCTGTGTCTTTCCCTTTGTGTACAACCACTGGTGTGATGAGGCGCTCACAGTAACTTCCTCAGGAGCGCAACACCTGACGGACGCACAACACTGTCATTCTCAAAGTAAAACAATACATTCTGATACAAAGACAAAATGCCGTTGCTGCCATTTACCAGTGTCAGAACTCTTCTTGAATAGGAAACCATTCATACTGTTTTCATGGCGAGCTTTACTGGCCAGGTACCAGTAACTGGCCCCTCGTTAAAAACAGATTCCTTTCTGCATTTGTAACCAGCAAAGATGTGAAAAGAAAATCCTGCCAGCAAAAGCGTATAAAGCAGTGAGGTTGCGTTCAACAATAAAATTTATAGCCAATTGAAGCTCTTTCAGACGATAATCAGCTACAATTATCGCCGAATCTTCGAACAATAAGGAATCACAATCCTAAGGTTGCATGTCATGGACAATATTTATCATAAAAAAGTACAATGAATGTTGTTCACTTCCGTGTAAAATACAGGGTGTAATAACGCTCACACCAGAGTAACGTCATCCCCTCCAAATAATCATCCATCCCATACAAAGCCAACACTCTACGCCGAATGTGCGCCTCCGCCAGGTCGATATTGCAGCAAGTTGGATGTTCCTTCTCGGATCACATGAGCGTCAATACCTGATTGCTGCGGCGATGTGACACGACACCAATAACATGTTTCCCAGTTGGTTTGTTATTCTCATCTCGCAAGATAGTCGAAAATCTATCAACTGGTTGGAATGCCAGTCATATGGGGGCCTGCTGCCCATGCATTGACCAAACAATATCTACCGAGAACAGAAGACATTTGTACAAACTAGGATAATATATACATGTACATGGTCAGGTTCTTCATATGGTACTTATAACATGTACGAGCATCTGCCACCTACAACTCTGTCATGGGTGTAACTGAGGGCATATATTCGATATATGCGGCTTTAGTGTTTGTTGCGTTCAGACAGATAACTGCGCGCCCTTTTATTGGCAGCATATAAAATCGATATATGACATTACAGTACGAGAGACATCTGCTAACACCCTCCCTCCCTCGGACTAATATGTGCGGTGGCTGCCAGCGAGGGCTGACGGGCTTCTGATTCCAGTCGCACACAAGTGCTAACATGAATGGTGACCAAACGCGAGAGAGCGAGCCGGATTAGCTGTCGAAATACGTGAACTATGAGTGATATTTGCCAAGTAACAGGACAGTGAAGTAGTTTTCATCACTAGCAGAACACAGCTCACTGAGCTAATAGCCCAATACCCCAAAGACAAACTGCGGTTCAAACTGACACGGGCATACACAGGACCACCGGAATATTTCACCGATGCCAACGGCGACAACAAAGACAAAAACTACAACCCGGTCAATTCTCAAATATTACCAACTTTCATAAACACTGATAACTGTGTCGATATGGTCCTCTTAAACAATGAGTTTTTTAGACATGGGAAGAAGCCCATGATGATACAGAGATTCTGACAGATTATGTGCACGTCAGGATGTCAGCAGATCTGTCTCCTCGACGTTTCCAAGCAGTAATCCATTGTACATATTCTGTGTATACTTACCAGCGTCAACAAGACCTAATGAGGCATTTTCTCATCTCTTGATATGTTGGATGAATTGCACGAAGCATATTCAATATTCGGTGAGGTGATTATTGTCGGTGATATGAACGCTTAAATTGCGGGCCCTCGTTGCGTGTTCAAAACAGATGTTCGGTCACGTCGCATGCATCAGACTCTGATGAAGTCAGGTTTAACTGCAGTGAATGTTCTATCATCATGTTATGGTCCTAACTGGACTTTTTCAGTCACACGAAAATGGTCCAGCGACCATGATCGACCATATTCTTGTACCAAAAACACTACTCAGTGATGTTCAGTGGTGCTTTGTGCTAGATGATCACAGTTACAACGGCTCCTGATCACCATCCTGTTATTGCATCGGTTAGTTTACACACTTATACGGAAGCATAGATATCACACAAGTTCAGAAGACTGCTATTGCCTGGGATAAAGCGAGAAACACAGATAAGATAGTTGACAATACATTTGCTGTGTCACAGCGCTCTGGACTCTAACACCTCTCAGTGCTGATGCCAGCCCATCAGAGATTGATCTATATTATAATTTTATTGTGGATGGTTACTGCAGGCTGCAAAGGACACGCTTTCTGCCAGTGAAAGGTATAACAGAAACCTGAAACCATTTTGGAGTAGCATTGTCAATCAGTACTATAACACGATGAATAAGAACAGAATATCATGGCTTAATGCTGGTAGGCCCGGGGTATGCATCACAGTACACATGTTTAGTACAAAGAAGCAAAAGCTGTTTAGGAGGTCACTTCGTGAAGCCTCAGATAAATTTGTCTCCTAATGGTTCAAGGACATTGAAGATATGGCTAATGTTGATCATCGTCGGTTCTGGTATATGGTGGAAAACAGGATGCAGAAGGGATATGAAGCGTCCTTGGCGCCTATAACATATAATGGTGTTACTCACAGCACTCCCGATGCTGTGATGGAAAGCTAGGTAAGGCTCACTTCAGTGCTGTGTATCAAGATACTGAGAAGGAACATTTCAATAGGGCATTTCAAGAGCATGTCAACCAAAAGTATACACCATCAGGAAGAGTTGTCTAACAGAGAGTGGTGAATGTATTTCATTTAGTGCAGTAGACATAGAAGCACTGTGTTCGCAACTCAGAAGGCTGGAGGACATGATGGTTTGGTTTATGAACACTACGACACGGTGGGAAATGTTTGATATTTCATCTGTCATGTCTGTTTGGTGCTATTGGTGAACACAGGAAGTCTTCCGAGAGACTGGTGTGTATCCGTCATGGTCCCTATATTCAAAGGGGTAACAAATCGAGAAAAGATCCGAACTCCCACAGGGGTATATCGCTCAGCCCTGTCATTGGAAAGGTATTTGAAATGGAACTGATACAAACACTTACAACCGCTGAAGTCTACGGCAACATTTCCCAGTAAAGCAGCAGATGACGTATCAAACAGGCTTGTCAGCTCTAGAAGAGTCATTTAATCTGCAAGAGACTATATATCATTACCATGAAAGGGAAACAAGATATACATGTTGCTTTCTTGGATACAATGAAGAGCATTCGATACTGTCTGGCATAACGGTCTCAGATACAAACCGTATGAAGCAGGGGTTCATGGACAGCTGTGGACTATTATTGAAAGGATGTACCCAAGTATGAAATCATATGTACAACTTGGGCAACATAAATCAGAGTGTTTGAGCTTCTACAAAGGAGTTCGCCAAGGCGGAGTCCTTTCAGCTAAGCTGTATTTGTTATATATTGATGGAACTGTTGAAAAACTCTCTGATACCAAGAAAGGTGCAATGTTGTTAGATCTGAATATGTGCTCACCTACTCAAAGCAGATGACATTGCGGTCGTTAGCTCAAATGTGCATGCTCTGAACAGCCTTGTGCAGACGTGTGAGGAGTACAGTAATGACTGGCGATTCACTCTGTCTCCCAGCAAGAGTGAGATCATGACGTTTCCCTATAGTGCGAACACGATGGGCAACCGTCCGGAAATCACACTATACAGTGAACCTGTGCTCCAGACTGATATCATCAGACATGTAGGCATAGTACTCACACAGAGAATGTCATCCATCGAGCATGTGCTGCAGGCTTGTAACACACTGAGAGCAAACACACATGTATTGTTGCGGAAAGGATTCCACTCAAAGTTAATGAACCCGATGACAGCCAGCAAGTTACTTGCAGCATCTGTTGCTACCAAAGGCACTCTATGGATGTGAGCTTTGGACTGGTCTCACCAAACATGAGAGATAACTATGCTCGAACGAGCATACCGTTATGCAGTAAAGAAATACAAAATCTGCGCAGCAAGAACCAGGACAGATATCTGTCTTGGATTCTCCTACTAGGGCTTTGTCCTGTTGAGACTGTGATAGATACTCGAAAGCTGTTATATATAGGGCAGACTCATCAATATGAAGAGACACTATTTGCCTCACCAGGTGTTTCTTATCAGACTTCTGTGCTTCAGACATGAGCTTGAGAAGTCAACGGGTTTTATTCCCGACATTGTGAGAATTCTTCATAAATACGGTTTACATCAGCACCTAGAGGTCTTATGTACAAACGGGACAGTTCATGAATCAGACTACGTGGAAGAAATTGTGAAAAGATATGTAATGAACTTCGAAGTGACGTCATACAGACAGAGATTAGTGGATTCAGGACTACATTAGCTCCACCAGATTCACCCGAACCTGTAAAAATTGCACCAAGCCTGGGTGATTGCGCAGAAGAAGCCGGCCTGCAGAGCAGCAGCCAATTTTATTGGTGCAAACCTGTGCTGTGATTAAGGAGAACCAGGGTGGTAGTGACTTTGTGCCATAGGTGTGGTCTGTTTTACACCAGATATTCTTACCCATATTATCCAGTACTGTGATCACTTGACTGACCTCCGCGATGAACTGTGGTGTGAGATCATAGCTATTGGTAGTGTGGAATTCAGTGTGCATCTCCACAACCTTAATGATTGGGATTTCACACTGCGCATGTTATCCCTGTGTGAATAGTTTTTAACCTGTGCACAGATGACAGAGACATTTTCGCGGCAGTTTGTGTGCAGTATGTGTTTCGCATTGCCAACACATACTACCAGAGATCTGTTGGTGTCACATAGATATGAAGCACTGTTCCACGAACGTTGAGATCTGGTACGGACTGCGCATATGCCCAACGACCATTGGCTTGAAGACGCGACTTAATTGAGTTTGGTTTTACGCCGCTTTTTAGCAATATTCCAGCAATATCACGGCGGGGACACCAGAAATGGGCTTCACTCATTGTACCCATGTGGGGATTCGAACCCGGGTCTTCGGCGTGACGAGCCAACGATTGCTTGAAGAATAATATGTAATTATTGTATTGTATATATACTATGTGAACCTTGTACTCTTCAGAATGGAGGAAATAAATAGATATACTTATAATCTGTCTCCTCTCACAACACAGTGTGAAGCACTCACTAATCTGTCTCCTCGATGTTTCCTCTACAGCACAGTGTGAAAGTACTCACTTATCTGTCTCCTCGATGTTCCTCTACAACACAGTGTGAAGTACTCACTAATCTCATGTATTGTTTACGAATACGTATTTCGATATTGTAGTGTGTTGTAGTGTGATATTGACGGATACACACATCAAACACACACACACGCGCGTGGCCTGTGTGTATGGTGCATGGTTGGAACAAGTTGGCTATTTCTCGTTATGTGACTTTACTGACCTTCATTAGCAATTTTTAACTTGGAATAACTTTACATGAGTTACAACCAACCACGTGTTGCGATATCAACCAATATTAATACACTCTTCAAAGAAACGAAACGCATAGGCGTTTTCAGCAGTTCATGTCAATATATTTTGACACCAACCGTCATTAAGACAAATCCTTTGTTTGAATCCCGTTAATCATGTCATGGTTCATGTGTATTGCGCGCAAACTCATCCCAAAATGTGTTTGCAAACGTTTGTCAGAAAAAATGAAACGATACATGAAAAGTGCATGCAGAAAAAAGTTTTCCACCTAATGCACGTGCAATGTGTTGGAAACATGAGTAGAGACATCGACCATAAAATCAACATAGCGAAGTTTACGACAGCTGCAAGGGGTGGTGTCACTTGAAAGCCCCTTGTGTCAATAACATGTGCAGTGATAGAACTGAATGAATGCTGACAATATCAACAAATACTGAACATCATTGAAAACGCACCACCTGTAAAATTTTGAAAACAGTGGTAATAGGATTGTTTTGAGACTGAAAAATGAACGTTGGAAATGTTGTTAATAACACAAAAAGACAATAAATAACGCTGTACAGTAAAGAACGGATTGCCTGAACACATCATGGAACACATCACATGACAACAACAAAATTCATACACAACATTGAAAAGCACAAATTGCATGCGTAAAACATGCTGATTAGGGGATATAAATGACCGTCGGCAAAAACGTTCTCATTTTTAGCTGTACCTCCGCAAGTAAAGTTTATTTTTTGCAATGCCAAGATTGTCACCAGAGGAACGGAAGAACGGGCGTTAATTATGTTGCAGGTTGGTACATCAAGCAGGATTATTGCCAGACGATTTGGTTGCCATTATTCCACCATCATAAGACTTGCCAACAGGTACCAACAAACAGGAACCACCAGGGATTCCGCCAACGTCCTGGCCAGGCACGTGTTACCACCCTCGCCAGATCGAGACATTGTTCCGGCGCCATATTCGGGATTGTACGTTTGCCAGCTGCCAGAACCGCCAACGCCAAGGCGACGTGGTTTGATCAGTGCTTCCACCGTCCGACGCCGTCTCCGTGCGGCAGGATTACGGTGTCGACGATCTTATGTTGGACCCATCCTCAAATTTGTATATCACACTTTACCGGTGTCCAGTTGACTTTCCAATGTTAATTATGTTGTTTATTTAAAATCAAGAGAAAACGGTCGGTATAGTGGAAAATTATCAGGGCAAGTGACTTTACATGTGCCACTGTACCGGAGTACACCATCATAACTTTAAAAGTTATTTCCACCCCTGAATCCTGACTGATAGACATCGCCGTGAACAGCATCGTTTGACGGTTGTTACGACGTTGGCATGGTGTTGTGTTCTCCGACGAGTCACGTTTTCTTGCGAAATGCCGGACGGGCGTCTATGGGTATGGCGTCAATGGGAGAACGTTACCATCAGGACTGTGTTGTAGCAACAGATCGGTCGGTGGAAACAGCATTATGGTGTGGGGGATTCAGTTATCATCACAAAACCGCTCTCTGGTGGTTTTGTTGTGGCAGAGTGAATGCGGCTTTACTACCGTGACACCATTCTTCAGAACAACGTCGTTCCTTCTTTAACCAACATCAAAATCTGCACCACATTCCAGCAGGACAATGCTCGAGCGCACACTGCACGTGTTGCAACAGAGTTTCTGGCAAACAACAACATTCCTCTATTTCCATGGCCTGCATTGTCACCAGATTTGTCTCCCATTGAACACTTGTGGGATCACATATCGCCAACGCCTCTCACGTCGCCCACCACAGATCAACAACAGCAGGGAACTTGAGAATGCCTTGCAACAAGAGTGGAATGCATTGCTTCAAACCATTATTCAGAGACATATCAGTTCAATGAGGAGACGTTGCACAGCGTCATACACGTTACCTGACTTTCCAATTTGACTCCATCTTTCTTTTCATGGTCGAAGCTGAATTAAAAACTTTACTGTTTTGCTGGATTGGTTCTTGTTTCTTTTCTTTACCAATCATTGGACTACAAAAGTATGTAAAATTTACACCGATTGCTCATTTATGCTCTTGGAAATCCAAACTAATACAGGTGGTGCGTTTTTAATTATGTTCAGTATATATTCGTCTGTGTGTCGATTTTCCTTCATCAATGATCATGTATAATCGACTTGTGTACACTGAAATACGTTTAATACATTTCCTTAGTTTGGGCATTTGCGTTTCTTTTTTCTTTGTTTTTTTTTAAGAGTGTATTACAACGGTCATGCATATCTTCAGCACATAGTGTGATTCCTAGAATTTTTCCTGAAAACAGATTTACTCTTTCAGTGAGTGAGTGAGTTAGTTTTACGCTGCACTCAGCAATATTCCAGCTATATGGCGGCGGTCTGTAAATAATCGAGTCTGGACAAGACAACCCAGTGATCAACAGCATGAGCCTCGATCTTTTCCTCGTTCAACTCAACTCACCTGGAAATAAACATATACTCCATCGTTTCCTTAATCCTTAATTTGGTGAATATTCCAACATATCCTAACGTGTTGGAAGGTTGATTCTGTTAACGCTAGATGTGTTTAAAGTTATTTTATGTTAACGTGTCGAGTTCGTGTAGTTTAGCCAGGTGTGCAACAAACAGTATTCAGTTTTTGTGCACGTGCCGAACTCGTGGAACGGAACCAATGGTGCGGCACACACAAATAAATAGTCCATATGCAATG